AAGGAAGGAAGGAAGGAAGGAAGGAAGGAAGAAAGAAAGGAAGAAAGAAAGAAAGAAGAAAGAAAGAAAGAAAGAAAGAAAGAAAGAAAGAAAGAAAGAAAGAAAGAAGCTTAAGTGAATCTCTTCTAGGCAGCATATAGTTGGGCTATTATTTTATTCCCCCACTTTATGTCTTTTAAATGGTGAATTTAAATCATTTACATTTAAAGTAATTCTTGATAGGTAAGAACTTATTGATAGTAAGGACTATCATCATTTTGTTAATTGCTTTCTGATTGTTCTGTACTTCCTTTGTTCTTATCTTCCTCTCTTGCTCTCTTTCTTTGTGAATTGACGATTCTATTTTTTATAGGGGTATGCTTTGATTTTTTTCTCTTTACCATTTGTGTGTCTCTTAAAGACTTGTGCCTGGATTGCCATAGGGCTTTCAAAATAGTTATAACGGGCAACTGCATAAAAATGTTCTACACGTTTACTCCTCACCCCTACATATGTTTCATGTCATTGGTGACCCAATTTACTTCTTTTTATATTTCCTTCTTTTCAACCTATTCCAATCTGGCTTGCCTCTCATCAGTCCACTAAAATTATTCTTGCTAAAGTCATCAGTTTCCTTCTTGATTCTGAATGCAACTGACTTTTTAAAAATTAACAATTTTTTAGAGACAAGTTTGAGGTTCACAGCAAAACTGAGCAGAATATACAGAGTTCCCATATAGCCCTTGACCCTACATATACAATCTCCCTTATTTTACATACTGCACCATAATGTTACATTTATTAAGATAGTTAAAACTATACTGCTACATTATTTTCCTTTTCCCTGAAGAACTTCCTTTAATATTTCTTACAAGGTAGGCCTACTGGCAACAAATTATAATTTTTCTTTGTCTGAGAAAGTCTTTAATTCTCCTTCATTTTTGAAACGTAGCTTTATGAAGCATAGAATTCTAGGTTGGTGGGTTTTTTCTCTCAGGACTTTAAATATTTCACTTCACTCTTTTTTGCATGATAGTTTCTAAGGAGAGATCTGTAATTCTTTGTTCTTTGTTCTTTTGCGCTTCTTTGCTCTTCTTTGCAAGGTGTTTTTTCCCTCTGGCTTCTTTCAATATTTTTTTCTTTCTTTCAAGATGTTTGAATATGATAAATCTAGGTGTAGTTTTGAGGGCATTTATCTTGCTTGGTGTTCTTTGAACTTCCTGAATCTATGATTTGGTATCTGACATTAATTTTGGGAAATTATCAGTCACTATTGCTTCATATATTGTTTCTGTGCCTTTCTCTGTATCTTCTCTTTCTGGAATCCCAATTATGTGTATGTCACACCTTTTGTAGTTGTCCCACAGTTCTTGAATATTCTGTTCTTTTTTTCAGTCTTTTTTCTTTTTTTTTTTTCAGTTTTGGAAGCTTCTACTGCCATATCCTCAAACTCAGGCATTCTTTCTTCACTATGTCCAGTCTACTAATGAGTCCATCAAAAGCATTCTTCGTTCTTGCTATAGTATTTTTTATTTCTAGCATTTCTTTTTTGATCTTTCTTAGAATTTCCATCATTCTGTTTATATTATTCATCTGTTCTTTCATGCTGTCTCTTTTTTCCTATAACGCCCTGGGCATATTAATCATAGTTATTTAAAATTCTGGTCTGATCATTCTAATACTACTGCCATATCTGACTCTGGTCCTGATGTCTATTCAGTCTCTTCAAATTGTGTTGTTTTGTTTTGTTTTGTTTGCCTTTTAATAAGCCTTGTAATTTTTTGCTAAAAGGTAGACAGGATATACTGGGTAATGGGAACTGTGGTGGATAGGCCTTTAGTAATGTAGTGGCAAGGTTTAAGTCATAGTGCTATGATTAGGTCTTTTTTGTTGAGCCTTTACCCCTGGAGGGTAAAATTCACCAATATTTCTTAATCCCCACACCTCCTAAGGTGGGACAGGACAGGTAGAGAGAGCTGTATCTAGATACTTCCATTCCTCCATGTGGAAGGCTAGAGAGAGCTGGAATTGGAGTATTTTCCTTTCCTCATTTGAAAAAGCAGACCTGGCTGAAGTTGGGTATTCCCCTTCCCCAAGGTAGGTCAGGCTCTACTAAAACCCCAAGTTAGGCGCTGGTAACATATATTCTTCTGAGGGAAGGTTTTGTTAAGAACAGAATACTCTAGTATATTTCAAGATGGTTCTTTTCCTCTTCCCATTACCAAAAGCATGAGGGGATTTTTCTCAGATATTGACTGTGAGGATCTGATAGAGGTCCTTCCTAAAGATAAAACTCAAAAAAGTGTCGAGGCCCCCTGATGACTGCGTCCCTCTTGAGTTTTTAACTCTCAGCATTGTTCTCACTGAGCCTCTAGCAATTCATCAATCACACCAGCTCTGGTTTTTCCATCCCAGCACTGGTTCTCTGGGAGATTTCTGTTCAAGTGTTTTTGCTCTGATAAGTCATGATTTTCTGTATCCACCTGTCTATCTTTCCAAATATTAGTGCAGCACTTTGGCCTATGATATTATTTATCTGACATATCTAAAAAGACTTGTTGATTTTTAACTTTGTTCAGGTTTTCTTTTTTTTTAAAGATTTATTCATTTGTTTTAGAGAGAGAGAGAGAGCACGGGGTGCGGGGGGAGGAGAGGGAGAGAGAGTCTCAAGCAGACCCTGCACAGAGCCCAGAGCCCAACTCAGGGCCCAATCCCATGATCCCAAGATCACCACCCAAGAAAAAACAAAAAGTCGGACACTCAACTGACTGCACCACCCAGGCGCCCCTTTGTTCAGGCTTTTATTTGTTAGGCCAGAGTGGTGGCTTCTAAGTTCCTTACATGCTAGACCAGAAACTGGAAGTCCTCCAATATTGCAAAGTTCTTTATAACGGGATTCCAAGCAACATTCAAGATTGTTAACCACTCCCCCTTTTAGGAGTAAATATTCTTGTCTCTTGGCTTCTATGATACCATATTCTGTTCATTTTCCTCCTTTTCTCTGTCCACTCTTTTCTACCTGACTGTAGAGTATTCCAAGGAATGATCCTGGACCCTTTTCTTTTCCTCACTCTGTAGAAACTCATTCTTTCTCAGGTGCTCTATTTCTATAAACTTAAAAATATCTAGAACACTGTATACTTATCTTCTGCTTTCCTAAACTGTAGATTTATAGCCAATGGTCCTTACAAATTTTTCATTTTCATGTACGCTCAGACCTCCTGCCTCTCCTATCACACTAAATAGCACCTTTAGCCGCCAAAACTGCTTAAGACAAAAACCTAGAAGTCTTTTTTGACACCTCACTCCTTCATCTTCTATCTCCAATTCAAGAACTCTACAGGCAAAATTATCTTGAATCCATGCATATTTCCCATCTCTCCTACAAAGTATCCTTGTCAAGGCCACCACAATCTTGCACCTACAATATCTATAACTTCATACTAAGGAATCTTCCTATTGAGACTCTTGCCCTTTTTCAATTTTTTTTTTTTTGCCCAATGTATACAATGATAGTAAAGTGTAGTGGAAAGAATACAGATGTAAGATCCAGAAAGACCTGCCACAAACTCCCCAAACACACTAATTAATATCTAAACCTCATTTTTCTTAGCTATAAAATAGGTGAAAACAAAACAAAACAAACAAAAAACTCACCTGGTAGGAATGCTATAAGGAAAAGATATAATTTGTAAAAAGTGCTTAGAATAATGCTTAGCATTGAATAGTCACTCAAAGAGTGGCTCCTGTTACATACAAAATAAACCTCAAATTTCTCCCCAAAGACCTCTAGATTCTGGGCCTAATGTACTAATTCACAAATACTCCTCAGCAGAAATCACTGCTCTGGCTACACAGCAAATGTCTTATTTTTACCTTAAATTAATTTTTAATAGACATCCAATTATCCAAAAGGAATTTGGAAAAACTGTAAACTTTAATTCTCTTTCATTAAACTTATATAGAGTATATATTCATATAACAGTAATGTAATTAATTACTAAGTTTAAAAACTGTTTGAAATTATTTACTTAAATAGCTGAAAAGTAATTCCTATAAAACTGTTGGTTAAGAATATGTTCTATATTAATGAAATTTATGATTTATATAGTTTTTCTGCTTCAACACTTGCTTTTTTCTTTGTTTTTTCAGGGGCTGAAGGGTAAGTTTTCTCAGCAAGTAAAACTTCACAAGCTGTATTATCTGTAAAGAAAAAGATGCTTCAATATTTTAATTATTTAACATCTCATTAACTATAAGTACAGAAAGTAGAATTCAAATTTGGAAAAAAAAAAAAAACACCCTAATTTTAAGGGCTGTCTTTGAAATAGTTTTAAAAGAAAAGCTTAACATATGTTGAATAACCTGACTTACTGCAGATAGAGTTTTATTTTAAGAGCTCTAGGTTTCACATGAGTAAATAAGCTCTATGTAAAATACTTACTTTTCATTTAGTACAGAAGGTTGCATGTGATTAAAATTCTTCATTAATTATCCTTCCATTTTCACTCTCCTGTATTTTCAGGCTCTCTCTTTTTACTGCAAATTTTCTATTAGCATTTAAAATATACAGGACTCTTTCATCTTACCAAAAACTTTATCTGTACCCCATACTCCTTCCTGCTACATCTTTTCTTTCCTTTTCTCCATAGGCATGTTTCTTCAAAGAGCTGTCCACATATACTAACATAACTTCCTCTCCTCCTGTTTACTCCCAAGCCCACAGCAATCTAGTTTCAGGTCCTACCTTTATGAACAGAAACCTTTCCTGTCCTACCTTATTGGACATCAGTACAACAAACATGAACATTTTCCCTCTGGCCCCTTTTATGACTCCTCTTCAGTCCTGACTCCTCTTTTTTTCACTCTCCAGGCTCAATCCAAGACAACAAATATCTAGTCTGCTATGTGGCAATGTTACTACTATAAGTATTGCAAATTTGGCTTTTCTTTATTCTTAACACTAGTACCTTGTTTTAAGTCAACAAGAGATTTCCCTCTGAATTATTTCAAAAGCTTTTCAATTCAGCTCCATCTGCAGTCCACTGCCCACATAATATATCTAAAACACAAGTTTAATATCATCTGCTTAAAACTCTTCCAAGGTTTTCCACTGTATTCAAGTTAAAACTCAAGCTTCTTAACTCAGCATACAAAATCCTGTTTTTTATGATCTCTGCCTATATACTTCTATATTCCCAGCCTCACTGCCAAGGCTAAAAGGTTTCTAGATATAATACAGGATACCTACTTAAATTTGAATTTCAGATAAACAAATAATTTTTTAGTGTGTTTGCTGTGTAATAGTACAAGCATATGCAATATTTATGACATAATTATATTAAAATTTTTTCGCTGTTTATCTGAATTCAAATTTAACTGAGCATTCTGTATCTTTATTTGCTAAATCTGACAACCCTTGAGACTACTCACTCCACTTATCTTCATCTCCTGAGGTAGAAGGAAGTAGTAGATTTGAGAGTTTAGTAAGAAATGAAATTGGTACCAAGATTTGGTAATAGATTAAGTGAAGGAAGTGACAAACAGGAAGGTGTCAAGGATGATCCCATGCTTCTGGTATGCTAAGCTACATTTGCTAACTAAGATGGAGGACACTGGTAGAAGACCAGGTTAGGTCTTGGTCGTGACAATTCTCAGTTCTCAATGCTCGCTTTATTTATTTGTTTGTTTGGTTTTTTTTATTCTTATGTTAATCCCCATACATTACATCATTAGTTCTAGATGAAGTGTTCCATGATTCATTGTTTGTGCATAACACCCAGTGCTCCATGCAGAACGTGCCCTCCTCAATACCCACCACCAGGCCAACCCATCCTCCCACCCCTCCCCTCTAGAACCCCCAGCCTGTTTTTCAGAGTCCATCATCTCTCATGGTTCGTCCACCCCTCCGATTTCCCCCGCTTCATTCTTCCCCTCCCGCTACCTTCTTCTTCTTCTTTTTTTTTCTTAACATATATTAATGCTCGCTTTATTTAATCTCTAGGTAACTTATGTTACAGTTACTTCTAAATGTTGGAGTGTTCCATTTACATTCTTTTTGCATGTTTGTTTTCTATTCCACTTCCTAGGTGATCTCATCTATATTCTTGACTCTAGATATTTATTTACAGCTCGTCTCTGCCCTAAACTCCAGACTCCTGTGTCACAAACTGCTTTAATGACATCTCTATTTGAAGGCTAATAAGTCTTTCAATGTTTTAATATTTTATTGAAGCACTCCACATACACAGTAATGGGCACAAATCTTAAATGTATATGTATTCACCTATATAGTCACCACCCAAATCAAGACATAAAATATTTCCAACAACCCAGAAGTTTCCTCTATGTGCTTTCCCAGTCAGGACTCCCATTCCAAAGATTACCACTATTTTTACTTCTACTACCTAAAACACTCTTGCCTGTTCTTGAACTTCATATATACAGAATTATACAATACATACATGTTTGTGTCTGCATTATTTCATGAAACATTAAGTACATGAGTAGACAAATCAAATTTCCTTTAAGCTTTTATTTATTTATTTGACAGAGAGAGAGAGACAGCGAGAGAGGGAACACAAGCAGGGGGAGTGGGAGAGGGAGAAGCAGGCTTCCTGCTGAGCAGGGAACCCGATGCAGGGCTCGATCCCAGGATCCTGGGATCATGACCTAAGCCGAAGGCAGACGCTTAATGACTGAGCCACCCAGGTGCCCCTAGACAGATCAAATTTAATGCTGAAACCAAATTCTCTTAGTCTTCCAACTTGCTCTGTCCTCCAGTATTCCCATCTCAAGAAATGATACCATCATTCGTCCACTTGCTTAAACCAATAATTTTAGACTCATCCTTGACTTCTATTTTTCTCTCTTATGCAACATCCAGCCTCATCAGAAAATCCTGGCACATCTGTTTTAAAATATATTTCAAATCAGACCACTGCTCCCACTTTAATCTCATATACCACTATCTGACCACCACAGTAGTTTAACAGGGGCTCTTTGCTTTCACTTGCCATCTTAGTCTATTCTCCACATGGTAGTCAGAGTGATAATTCAAAATATGTATCTAATCATGTCATCCCTTTGCTCTAAGATGTGTTTCTTGGCACATTTAGAATAAAACCCCTACTTCTTATGATGGCATAGGAGACTCCACATTATACCATTTGATTACCCCCTGAACACAACTGAAGTCATTCTTTTTTTTTTTTAACTCACTTTGCTCCAGTCATTCTAACCTCTTTTCTTTTTTTTTTTTTTAAAGATTTTATTTATTTATTTGACAGAAAGAGGCAGTGAGAGAGGGAACACAAGCAGGGGGAGTGGGAGAGGGAGAAGCAGGCTTCCCGCGGAGCAGGGAGCCCGATGTGGGGCTCGATCCCAGGACCCTGAGATCATGACCTGAGCCGAAGGCAGACGCTTAACGACTGAGCCACCCAGGCGCCCCTCTAACCTCTTTTCTATTCTTCAAACATGCAGAGCTCATTTCCATCTCCTGGTCTTTTCTCTTGTTGTTCCCTTTGCCCAGCATGCTCTGTCACAGATTTTCATATGACCCACTCTCTCACTTCATTCAAGCTCTATACAAATGTAATCTCCTCAGAGAGGCCTATCCAATTACCTTGTCTAAAATAGCATTCCTAGTCACACTGTTTTTACCCGCTTTATTTTCCTTCAATACTCTTATTCCTGACATTGTTGTATATTTATTTATTTAACAGTTGATTATCTTTCTTCCTCTACTATAACATAGCTCTTTTAGGGCAAGGACTCTGTCATGTTCCCCAGCAGCTAAAATACTTTGTGTCACACTGTAGGTGATTAATAAATATTTGTTGAATGAATGGAATTAATGAATGGTATGAGGAGGTGTCTCTGAAACATCCAAGGGGAGATGTTTAGAAGGTAGCTGCATATAAGGGTCTTAGCCTCAGAGGAGATTCTTTAATGAGAGAAAACTTGGAAACCCTGTTTTTTATAGGACACCTATACATATCAGGGGGTAAATTTTAAAAAGATTAAAATCTAGGAACTAGCCTTGAAGAACTCCCACATTTAACCACTAATAGTGGTAGATAAGATTGCAAAGGAGCCGGAATTACCTGAGAAGTAATTTCTTGTTTATTTATTTGTCTCTATGATTAGACTATTTTCTAACATTTAGTAAAGAACCTGCCCTACAATTGGAACAAAGATAGATTTGTTGAATTAAGGAAGTAAAAAATACCACTTGAGCAAGATGTGATTTAATTTTAAATTTCAATCAATCAACCACATAAAAGTAAGAATACAAAAGCATACATAATTCCAGAATCACTATTCTCCCTTACTATCAGGCCTTATAAAAAACATTTTCTACAGCCAAAGCAAAATTTTTTATTGGGCAAGACCTAAGTAAAATCATGATTGTTTTTGGTACCCTTACCACTTTCCCTTTCATAATCTCTCTTCTCTTGTTCACAAATGCCCTGACTCTTAGATCTATAAAACAAATCCCCCTTCTTTTTTTTTTTTTTAAAGATTTTATTTATTTATTTGCGAGAGAGAGAATGAGAGACAGAGAGCACGAGAGGGAGGAGGGTCAGAGGGAGAAGCAGACTCCCTGCCGAGCAGGGAGCCCGATGCGGGACTCGATCCCGGGACTCCAGGATCATGACCTGAGCCGAAGGCAGTCGCTCAACCAACTGAGCCACCCAGGCGCCCACAAATCCCCCTTCTAATATTCACCCTCCAGGGTAGTAGATGCTAGCTACTCTTTTAAAAGATGTGTGCTTTTACAAGTTTAGTTTTTATCACTTTATTAATTTCCCTCAGAACAGCAACTACTGGGGCACCTTGGTGGCTCATTTGGTTAGGCGTCTGTCTTCAGCTCAGGTCATGATCCCAGGGTCCTGGGATTGAGCCCATATTAGACTCTCTGCAGAGAGCCTGCCTCTCCCTATCCTTCTGCCTGCTGCTCTGTCTGCTTGTGTTCTCTCTCCCTCTCTGTCAACTAAATAAATAAAATCTAAAAAAAAAAAAAGAATAGCAACTATTTTAATCATTTTTATACCCAGAATTCCTAAATCCTGGCATATAGAAAATAATCATTAAGAGAACTTCTTAAAGTGAAGATTATGTAAAAAAAACACCTTTTTTTGTTTATATAAACATACCTATTAAGAGCAAAACCAGCAATTCTTCAAGTTTAACCAAAAACAGATGCTATAAAACTTGATTCAGGAAATAAAAATAGCAATCTGAGATACAGCATGGATTAATAAGGTTGGAAATGTTTAGCTAAGTTTATCCTAATAATAAATTAAATTATAGAGTGTCTATAATGCAAGGGTACTATGTTATTTTTATTTTCAATCATCACACATAATTCCAATATATCTGTTTATTGATTATCTTCCTTTCTCATGACTGAAACTTAGGAGGCAAGGACTTTATATCACTCCTCACTGGTATATATAGTAATGCCTAATACAGAGTACACACTCAGTAAATGTTTATGAAATGAATTAATGAAGGTTGTTATAGGGATAGTTAAGACCCACATTCTAACTTCACATACCTTCATTTCTTAAAATACAACCAAGCTAAAAAGCACTCAGTTTCCTGGGCTACCAATTTTCTCAAAATATGCTACACTGTCACAAAAATAAAGAAATACAGAATTATGAAAATGATTAGTTTCACTATTTATTACCTGATTCTGAATGCGAAGTACTCTTTGGTTTTGGAGAAATACTTTGGTCTGCTAACATCATCACTCTATAATAAGAACAAATTAATTAATAATTAAATTATTCTCTTAATCTTTCAGTAACTTTTGAGAATCCTCAAATAATACTTACAATAATAACATTTATATTTATATCAAATATCCTGTAGAAAAAATATAACTGGTTAAAAAATGTTCCTGTATCTATATGAACAAATAGTTTAATAATAAAAGGCAATATATTTATACATTTTTCAGTGTGAGACAATACAAATAGAGGACAAAGTAGAGTGTTCAGAATGAGACAGACCTAGGGTTAAAGCCCAGTTCTTCTACTCACACTTGAGTGGCCTTGGAAATTTACTTAACTTGTCTTGATTCTTGGTTCCCTCATTTATACAAAAAGAATGGCAATCTTGTTTCCTAGGGTTCTCGTGGTAATGATCTCAAGTAACATGAGAGATAATACTTTTTAAAAATTAATATCCTTGGGCGCCTGGGTGGCTCAGTTGGTTAAGCAACTGCCTTCGGCTCAGGTTATGATCCTGGAGTCCTGGGATCGAGTCCCACATCGGGCTCCCTGCTCAGCAGGGAGTCTGCTTCTCCCCCTGACCCTCCCCACTCTCATGCTCTATCTCATTCTCTCTCTCAAATAAATAAATAAAATCTTTAAAAAAAATTAATATCCTTTTCTCTCTCTCTTTTTAAAGATTTTATTTATTTACTTATTTATTTGAGAGAGAGAGCACATGAGTACGAGTGGGGGTAGGGGCAGAGGAAGAGGGAGAGGGAGAAGCAGACTCCCCACTGAGCAGGGAGCCCAATGCATGGCTCAGTCCCAGGACACTGGGATCATGACCTGACCTTAACTGCTTAACCAGCTGAGCCACCCAGGCACCCCATCCTTTTCTCTTTTACAAATGACAGCACCCCCAATTCTACTGAAATGTGTATGAGAGGATTACAAGAGGAATACCAAAGGATCAAAGCTCAGCCTTTGACCACCAAAACGGGATTTCTGAGTCCCCAGTAAGACAATGGAGTTGAAAACCAAATGTGTGAAGATGGTTTTCTAAATTCCTATTGCTGGTTTATTGAAAAATTGAATTCAGTAAGCAAAAAAAAATTTTAGGCAAGGGAAGTGAAAGCAAAAATGAACTACTGGGGCTTCATCAAGATAAAAAGCTTTTGCACAGCAAAGGAAATAGTTGACAAAACCAAAAGACAACTAACAGAATGGGAGAAGATATTTGCAAATGACATAACAGATAAAGGGCTAGTATCCAAAATCTATAAAGAACTTATCAAACTCAACACCCAAAGAACACATAATCCAATCAAGAAATGGGCAGAAGACATGAACAGACATTTCTGCAAAGAAGACATCCAAATGGCCAACAGACACATGAAAAATGCTCCACATCAGTCAGCATCAGGGAAATCCAAATCAAACCACAATGAGATACCAACTCACACCAGCCAGAACAGCTAAAATTAACAAGTCAGGAAATGACAGATGTTGGCAAGGATGCAGAGAAAGGGGAACCCTCCTACAGTGTTGGTGGGAATAGAAGCTGGTGCAGCCACTCTAGAAAACAGTATGGAAGTTCCTCAAAAAGTTGAGAATAGAGCTACCCTATGACCCAGCAATTTCACTACTGGGTATTTACCCCAAAGATGCAAATGTAGTGATCCGAAGGGGCACCTGCACCCCAATGTTTATAGCAGCAATGTCCACAATAGCCAAACTATGGAAAGAGCCCAGATGTCCATCAACAGATGAATGGATAAAGAAGTTGTGAGATACACACACACACACACACACACACACACACACACACACAATGGCGTATTATGCAGCCATCAAAAAATGAAATCTTGCCATTTGCAACAACGTGGATGGAACTACAGGGTATTATGCTAAGCAAAAAAAGTCAATCAGAGAAAGACAATTATCATATGATCTCACTGATATGTGGAATTTAAGAAACAAGGCAGAGGATCACAGGGGAAGAGAGGAAAAAATGAAACAATATGAAACCAGGGAGGGAGACAAACCATAAGAGACTCTTAATCATAGGAAACAAACTGAAGGTTGCTGGAGGGGAGGGGAGTGGAGGGATGGGGTAACTGGGTGAAGGACATCAGGAGGGTATGTGTTGTAATGAGCACTGGGTATTATATAAGCCTGGTGAATCACAGACTTGTACCCCTGAAACCAATAATACATTATGTTAATTTAAAAAAAAAAAAGAAAATATTGATGAAGGAAAAAAAACAATTTTATTCTATCCTATTTCCTCTTTAAATTAATCTTGTCAAAAATAGTACTTTCTTGGCCCAAATGAACTTTCAGGTGTACTCCATTGTTTTTGTGGTATTCTCTTGTATAAAACAGTCATTTGGGGGGTAATAAAAAGCCCAGTGTAATATCACAACACCAAACTCTTATTATCTGATTTATATTTCATCCTTTTCCCAACTTAGGACAGAATTAGACTCAAAACCTGCAGTGAGGAAATCAACCATGGTTGGTTTCTCCTATATTTCTTGTTCTTTTTCCTTCCCTGTTTGGGAACTACTCTTTGGGTTCCTCTGGCATTGGAGTAGGGGAAAGGAGTTGTAGAAAGGGACATAAAACGTCTTTCTTGATTTTGACTGACACTATTATAACATGCCATTGATACCCTCTGGGTCTGACAGATAACCAAATGCTGACTCTTTCAAACCTGAAGTATTTTGAAGGGTTCAATGACAAGATTTCCCTACACTTGGGGCTCTCTCACTTGCTGCTACTTATGATCTCCTCAGCTTTTGCATTTGATGATAGAACTTTCAGCCTCTTTCAGTAGAGTTTACCTTTTCCTTTGCAGGAAGTCATACTGGGCATGAACCTTTCCAAGAGGATCCATAACTGACTCTCTTCTGTGGGATGTATATCTGACCTATAGGCATTATGCACAAATCTTTGTTGTGCCAAACTCTGAAAGTACATCTAGGTTCCTCTTTATTCTGCCATTCCAAGGCATTTAACAGACTGCTAACAGACCCTCTTGCCTTTAGACTTTTCAAGTGTGAGTCAGAAATCAAGTTCCAGGGGACATATGTCAAACTTTTCAAATGGTCCTCTTAGAGCTTCTTCTCTTGTGTTGAGGTGAAGGAATAAGCCTACCCTCTCCTTGCATATAACACCAATAACTCTTATCAAAGAAATATATATTTTTGGTCATTTCATCCCTTCAGAGCACTCTTAGCTTTTTCTAAAACAGCTTGGAGATTGCTGATGGGCAAACGCATGAAGAATTGGGTTTTGACTCCACCTTTTACAAATCATACATAGATAAATCTACACTGATGGGAATGGGGGTAACCGTCATTTTATTTTGTTTTCATCTATTGAGGTCACTGTTCAAACTTTAAGACTACCTGAAAGCCACATTTAATATCCTGCTATGTTCCTCAAGTTCCTCTTAACATATGTAGATGAAAACCACAGAATTTAAAAAAAAAAAAAAGAAAACCACAGAATTTTACTATTAGCTACAGAATATAGAAAAAACTCAGGATGTGACCAAAGATAAATCCCTGCTCCATGCTTTCTAGCCTAGAGGATTACTGCTAATTAAAAGGGGACAGAGCCTTGGGAAATAAGCAGTTTGACAGTGGGAACTGACTTCTCTCCATCAAGCCCTAAATCTGGAGGTGGGAGCACTAGGTATGAAGATGACATTAGAAGAGGTGAAGAGAAAGCCAAAAGCAGAGGGGGCATGTGCCACACTCACTCTAAGTGGACACATCCACAAATGGTGGAAACTCAACATCAGAATAAGAGTTTGGACTATTCAGTCAGAGAGGAGACCTCAGTTAGCCCTCCTTGAGAGTCCCTTAATACCTGTAGATTGTGAATGAGTTCTCAAGGTTCCAAATACCAAGGGCAATGCAGAAGGTGCTCAAATTAGAACCAAAATACTTGACATAGGGCTGCTGTGGCTGGTGACTCTACCGCAAAGGTTGCAGAAAGGCAATCAAGTCAAAATCTTGATGAAAGACTTCAAAGGAGTTTTGGGTAGCAACAAAAGCTAATGTCAGAAAAAAATCAGCAATGGAGGATCTCAGGCCATAAATAAGGCTGTAAGTTCACCAAAGACTTTTTCAGCAGAGTCCAGCCCAGGTATAGAACCAGTCTTAAAACCTGCAGCATAAATTAATATAAGTCCAGAGACACCTTGTGGATCCCAGACAACCTCAAAGCCCCAACTTTACCCCTCCCCCAGCTCTGGCTTGCTCCTATGCCTATACACCTATTTTTAGGATGGCCATTTATCCAAACTGGCACCTTTCCAAGAGTAAAAGGGAGTTCTACTAAAATTTATGTCAGAACAATAGACAAATACTAGGACTGTCCCAGGCAAATCAAGAGGTATGATAATATACCTATATGTCATCCTCAGGAATATGGAATGAGGAGAAAAATCTGTAAGATTCAGCATTCATTTTAACTGGAAGTAAATGGATAGCATTAATAAGTTTAACTCATCATTTCCCAGCTAAATAGGAGAGAAGGGAGAGGAGAGCCTATGAGAAGTTGAAGTCAGTTAATTTTAAAAATAAATACATTACATGTGAAACTAATATTACACTCCTTGTTCACTAACTGGAATTTAAATAAAAATTTTAAGGGCGCCTGGGTGGCTCAGTCCATTAAGCGTCCTACTCTTGATTTTGGCTCAGGTCATGATCTCAGAGTCCTGAGACTGAGCCCCACATCAGGCTCCCTGTTCAGTGGGAGTCTGCTTGTCTCCTTTCCCTCTACTCCTCCCCTTGCTTGAGCTCTCTTTCTCTTAAATAAATAAATCTTTAGAAATAAATAAATATATACATACATACATACTTTAAAAATAAGAAAGAAAAGGGGCACCTGGGTGGCTCAGTTAGTTAAGTGACTGCCTTCGGCTCAGGTCATGATCCTGGAGTCACTGGATTGAGTCCCGCATTGGGCTCCCTGCTAGGCAGGGAGTCTGCTTCTCCCTCTGACCCTCCCCCCTCTCAT